ATCTGGAGGTAGAAAATTACGGTTTTCAAGCGGCAGTCTATAGAGGCATGGAATAAAAGAATAAAAAAAGGTAAATTTGATTTTATATTTCAAAATTCTGACTTTATTCTCGCAATTCCGAGATTATATCTCACAATTCTAATAAGGAAAAACAGCTCGTCATTCTCTTTTCCCTCGGCTCTTCTGGCTTTTTTCCCTCAGATTTGACAAACTCACTATTTTTGAGTTGAGTCGAGTTATAAAGTTTGAATTAGGAGATATAAACTTTAAAATAATATTTCATGCTCTAACTGTAGGGCTAATACAATACGTCCCCTATGAACAGCATATGTGAATATTATGTAGACCTATTGTTTAAATCGAATTTATGCTTTAAAAGTAGAGTAATCATAACTCCATAGTTTTCATCCATAGTAACGTTATGTCCATTTAAACGTCTGCGTTTAGCTTCAAATGGCGTCTTTGACGACAGTATTCTATAAAAATTATTTGCATTCCGATCTTGACATCAAAAGGCACAAATTTTTTTTCTTTTATTCCATGGATTTTACCCATTTACCTCCACTTGTTCCCAGTGTTTTTTTTCTGCAACCACTATGCGCGCGCAGCTGCAAGTGACGTAACTGTAACGTTTACTCTGAATTGGTCTATAAATTATTTTATCTGAGCCACATTTTATAGCTCTCTTCATGCCAGTATTCTTACTGTGTGCCAACAACATAATCTTTGTCAATTTTGTTCCTCCAAAGAATATAATGTTACTGTAATTTGACGTTTATTTATGATGTACTGTAGATATATATACACTACCATTCAAAAGTTTGAACAGTGCATATAATTTGTAACAATGAATATAATTCATTATAATGTTATAAGAGATTTCAATTTCAAATACATTTTCTATTCATCAAAGAATCCTAATAAAAAATGATTTCCACAAAAATATTAAGCATCACAACTGTTTTAGCATTGATAATAACATGAAATTTTTTTGAACAGCAAATCAGTATATTAGAATGATTTCTGAAGAATCATGTGATGCTGAAGACTGGAGTAATGATGCTGAAAATTCAGCTTTGCATCACAGGAATGACTTACATTTTAAAATAGAAAACAGCAATTTTAAATGGTAATAATATTTCACAATATCACTTTACTGTATTTCTGATTAAATAAATGCAGCATTGGTGCATTGGCATAAGAGACTTTAAAAACATCTTACGGAGCCCAAACTTTTGACCAGTAGTGTATGCCAGTGAAAGGCTAAACTAAAAACTGCATTAGGTCTGAAAAAAGAGAAACCTTTTAGACTCCTCCTGGACTTGTTCTGAAACAGGAAGCAGCACAGGACACTGGGTAGTGGTGTGTGTGTTGGAGGAGGCATGAATACTCACAGACGACAGTGGGAGCAGAGAGTGGGTGCTGGGTCACCTGCAAACATGACCTCCTGCCCACAGCTGTCTGCTTCCCTCCAACACACACTTCCACTCTCACCTGCACACACACACACACACACACATCTCTCAGAGCCGACTGGAGCAAACTGACACTGATGCACCAATGCTGGGATAGTAACTGCACAAGAGACCACTGATTCTTCATCTCTCCTGCTCTTTCTTTCTCTCTATTTGGATCTGGCAGTGGCAGTGTTTACAACAGAGAATCTGACACAACACATTATAAGGCTTTTGTGTAAATCTCACTATTAAACACACTAAGACACAATTAGACGCTCACCACTACTGTTTATCTCAATAATAGTGATTAAAGGCAGAGGTACATGATCAGGATACTTGAGTGCCATACCGATATTTTAACACTATAATGGGCAACAATTTTCAAAGACATCCTTTACTCATGCTTTAACAAGTATTAAAAGGATAATTTATAAAAAAGCAAACAAACAAACAAAACAAAACATTGTCATCAATGAAAGTCAGTAAGGTACAATGATGTTTTTGGACCCCATTGACTTTCACTGTATGGAAAACACAGTTCAACACTTGTCAAAATATCTTTTGTTATATCTTTTTTTTTATATCGTATTCAGCAGCAGTTATAGATCTGGAATGACATGAGGGGAAATAAATGATGAGAGAATGTTCAATTTTAGGTGAACTGTGCCTCAAAATGCACCACAATGCAGTATTACCAAAAACAAATCACATTTTTATTAATAGTTTTAGATTCATTTTCTAACCATTCTAATATACTGATTTGCTGATCAAGAAAAATTATCATCATCAATGTTGAAAACAGTGCTGCTTAATATTTTTGTGGGAACTGTGATACATATCTGTATCTTTCTCTATTGACGGCCATTCAAAAGTAATTAATGATGAATTAACACTTTTTGCAAGCAACATAATACAAATATTTTAACGTTTTCATTATATTTTAGCAGAAATGTCAGAAAATGCAGTGGCCAATAGTTTAGGAAGCCTCATTAATTGGACTTTGTCCATGATCTGCCTTTGATGTAACAGCACATAATCAAGCACAAAATCTGCGTCAGAATACTATAAATAAAGACAACATTTTACATATATTCGACACATTTGCAATTAATATTTATAATCTAAACCGCTCTCACAAAATCTTCCTTGACAAGCACAGCGGCCACAGTTCTCACCCTCTGGCCTCGACATCGCACATCTAGTGTGCCATGACAGACCGGCCCACCCTTTAGATCCCGGAATAAGCAACCAGAGAGTCAAAACAAGCCTTCATGAAACTCCGTTCACAGTTAACACTCCCCGCCTCTTCCAAACACAGTCTCTCCTGCTCTGGCAGCCCAGGAAGAAGGCTTTCGTTTCACACAGCGCCGGCAGGCAGGATGCCACCAGTGTAACGTGCACGGAAACGCAAATAGGTTTGTATATTTCCAGAGCTCTGATGCCGGCTTGCTGTTTATAGCTCGCTTCATTATCAAAGCTGTTATTAACCACCGGAATAAAAAAGAACAGCCAGTGTTCCCGGGAAGACATTGATTCGGAACTTAGTAAAAGTTTAAAAGAACAAACGATGCCTTCCCTGCATGCTGTAGAGCTAAATTTAGGATTTAGGGATGGATAAACAGATCTGTATCTGTGCTAGGGATGTGCAAATCTACATATTTTACAAACTGACTAGTTGGTGGGTTATCTGACATACTAAT